CTCAACTAGCGAGATGGGACTAAACATTGTGCACTGTGGGTGGCAGCGCACCACCTTTAGTACAGGTTGGTGGCTCCAATCGGTAGTAAAGGGTTGGTCTTTAGTACCGGTTGGAGCCACCAACCCTACTAAAGGCCATGACCCCTTTAGTGCCGCTTGGAGCCACCAACCAGTACTAAAGGTCACAAATGAACCGGGACTAATGCATAACCGTTCGAACCGGGACTAATCGTACCATTAGTGCCGGTTCATTTACAAACTGAGACTAATGTGTCTCACGTAAAGTAGTTTTTCTACTAGTGTGCCCGTTATCTGTGTTGGATAAAGGAGATGGGGGTGGATTGTGAATAAGCTCGATTGGTCCAAGCTCCAGTGGTGGAGCTAGGGGGAACGAGCAGGGGCCACCCCCCCCCCCCAACTTTTTTGGTTCACCCCAACATTACTGTTGCTAAGCAGTTTCAGGATACTAAACAGACGTTCCCACATGGTAATCTTAAAGTGGCTGATTTACCCTCTTTTGCAATGAAAAAATGGGATCTATCAGGTACATTCAGGATATGCCGTCAAATATTCCATAAAAAAAATCATATTTTGACATTCTGATATTCAAGACCAAGAGGTACTGGATTCACATTTTTGTTGAACAAAATTATTTTGTAATTCCTCGCATTGGCAAACCATGGGTTCCACATCTGTGTCTCACATTTCCCGATGGGATTGTACAAATTTCAAAATACCCACTCGCATACGGTTTTTCCCAGTTACCGATGACCTCCGTCTCTGCCCTTGTTATGACGTACACCATGTCGCTTTGCCCATCACAAGGGAGAGCAACCTGTTACCTCCTACTCCAGACTTCCTCACCATGTTGTCCATGCGTATACACCTTTCTTCTCCCGCCGTGGAATCAAAGACGGCATTCTGCACTACCATGATCTCATCTGCCACCAACGATCCACCATTCCGAACTAGGACCACAAATTCCATGCGTGCACGGTGGCGTGCAAGTGCGAGGCCGCAGCATCCCTGAGCTGCATCCTTGTGAGCACAAAACTATCGGTTGCGCGCATAAATCCACATCGCCGTCACCGAGTACATGAAGAATGATTCTTTTGCTATGGAGTACTCGTTGCTATGAGATTTCACAAATAGAACCGGAGGTGGACACCAAAACGAAACTTCAGCTCACCTCCTAGCTTTTTAGAACCGCTCTCATTCTCTCCCTAACCTTCTCTCGTAGACTGCCTGTAGCGAGGTCGGCCATGTACCGTGGATTCAAGTGAACCTCCTTCCTCTATTCTCCATCGGCGTTGCCGACCGGAGTGGGAGCGAAGGGAGTAGGTTTGGTTTTTTCTTTTCATCCACATGCCGAATGAACTAGCATTTTGATCAATATTCACCCCCTTCTTTGATCCAGCTCTTCTTTCTCGAGTCCCCGTTGAGGGTAACGATGTGGAAGGGCGATTTGTGGTCGGAGGAGGCTCCTATACCGATGTGACCTCGCCAGATCCATGGCGTTGGGCAACTTCGGTAGCTGCGCCCCTTTCCCCAACCTCCTGTTTCTTTTGCGGGTGAAAAGTATGCTTGAGAATGACGCCGATGGCTTTTCTCCGCCCTTATGCCACTAGAAGAAAAACGACTTTTAGTACCGGTTCTGGAAACCGGCACTAAAGGGTGGGGACTAAAGTCCCCCCCCCCCTTTAGTCCCGGTTCAACACGAACCGGGACCAAAGGCCCACCACGTGGCACGACGCGCGCAGTGGTCTGTGGACTAAAAGATTTTTTTTTGAATTCTTCTATGAAATAAAGCAAAAACAGCCCGCCTACTGGGCCAGCAAGGCCTGCATATGACTAGAAACCCAACCTCTAGTTGGGCCAGGATGCAGACCCGTATGGCCCAGTAGGCCCCACATGGCAGAAGACTTGCAATAGGCCCACAAAGGCCTGCTTAGAGAGGAGCTCGACACAGTTGCCGCGGCGGGGTTATAAACCGGTGTGAGCTCCTCTCAACTAGCGAGATGGGACTAAACATTGTGCACTGTGGGTGGCAGCGCACCACCTTTAGTACGGGTTGGTGGCTCCAATCGGTAGTAAAGGGGTGGTCTTTAGTACCGGTTGGAGCCACCAACCCTACTAAAGGCCATGACCCCTTTAGTGCCGCTTGGAGCCACCAACCAGTACTAAAGGTCACAAATGAACCGGGACTAATGCATAACCGTTCGAACCGGGACTAATCGTACCATTAGTGCCGGTTCATTTACAAACCGAGACTAATGTGTCTCACTAAAGTAGTTTTTCTACTAGTGTGCCCGTTATCTGTGTTGGATAAAGGAGATGGGGGTGGATTGTGAATAAGCTCGATTGGTCCAAGCTCCAGTGGTGGA